GAGGTCACCTGTGACATTGAACCCTCTCACAAACATTGGCAATGACAGCATTATTTACCTTGAAGAACATCTCAGAATGTAGATTCTTGAGATGTTTCTCAAAACATGTTGTGTTCGTCCCACGCATGACCGTTCCACATTCTTTGACTTGGTCTTTTTTTTTTCCTTCATCGTGGAACATGAAACGGTCCACAAATTCTGTCACCACTTTCAACCAGCTATGGATGTTATCTCGCACTTTCACCATCAAATCTTTCCCCTCTCATCGGGAGCGTGATTGAAGTGACGAGCTTCCGTTCACCACTCCAGTCGACCTCTGATTGGTTCTCTCCTCGCTTTGTCCTGTCTGTTCCATTTTCGAAGTGGTTCTTTTCTCCCACCCGCGTTTGATTCTTTCTTCTGATTGGATTTCATCACGGTGGTTTTTCGTTTGACTTTTCTTTGTTGACAAAATTGTCAATCGATTTAGTTATCGTTATCGTATCATTGAATGATATTTTTGTTTCATCTGGAAAAAATATATATATCTGAGACGATATGATGACAAAAATTTTTAGTTCATGAAATTAACACTGGTTGGCAGCTCTTGCAGTCACATCAAACTCATGTTAAACGGGAGCCAGCACACACCTGCTACAATTTTCAGTGCCCGTGATTAACCCTCCCAAAAAGCTCAGGAATTCTTGTATGCTTTTCCTGACATTTTTGTAGTCGCATCTTATGTCACAAGCTATGGTCCAGAGAGAGCTTTCATAGCATCCAAATGATCTCATGGCTCAAAGGTGTCAGTCTGGAGAAGGGTACAAAAGGCAGTAAAGACAAGCATCAAGCAGAGAAAATATTTCCTGTTCGCTAGCACTACTGACACACATGCACATCAGAATGGCACATTCAGTATATTTTATTTTGACTTAATGAAGGTTGAGAAACTGTGGCTGTGGCCTGCGGGCACTACTCTGCCCACACGTGCTCCAAGGCTGCATTCATACTGCGGGCATATCTGATTCAAATCAAAATTTATGCAAATGTACAAATTGGATTTGAGAACATTATTGACCAAACTGACAATTTGCAATGGAGGCGTCCTACAGCACGTGACATCATTTAATTGCGACAGCGGCAACAAATATAAATATCAATACTTTCATCCTCTGTCCAGGGAATGCTGTTCAATTTCTTTCATGTGCTCCATTCTTTACCGTTCCGCACATCGATTGGCACGCTCTGCTCTGGGGGATTGGGTCTTGCGTGGCGTAGAGTGATGTCACAGACAGTCAAAGCCGATTTGTGTGTTTGCGGCTGTTCAGGCAGACGCATTCTGCCCATCGGATATGAAACTACAGTACCTCCCAAATGTGGTTTCAATCAGTCTCACAAAAATTGGTTTTCATGTGCTATGTGACTGTTCAGACGAGAAAAGAGCCATCCAGTTTCAATCTGACAGGGCTAAAAAAAAAAAAAAAAAAGGATTTTGGCTGGCAGGCTGAACAAGGACTAAGTCTTTAAAATTCATCCATGAGATTAGCAGGTTGGGGGAAAAAAAACGATCACAACAAGCTCCGGTGCTCATTTGAGAACCAAATCAAATTGTCGTGTCCTTGAGGGTCTCGAAAGGCATTTTTAAATTTAGTTTATTTATTTATTTATTTATTAATGTGGCGCCATGAACATAATTGTCCAACAAATATAAAATATTTTCACAAAGCATGAATATTTGCATGGAACATGACACACTTTGGTCAGATTAAAATAACAAAAGCGCATACATGAGTACAGTTAAAAACGTATGATTGAAGATGCAAGGTAATTTGATCTCATCCGGTTTCAAGCATGAGCCTAGTTAAAGCGGATGGATTGAGGACAAACCCTGAGAACTCTGCACAAGACAAAGCTAGGGTGCCCACTGTACAGTTATTTTTAAGATGTCGGTGTCACAACACAAACCACTCAGACAGCCTGAAACAAGCCAAGTGGGTTGGTCACGCTGCTCACATTGAGAACAATAGCAGAGTGTCAAGCTGAGCCTCAGGCTCCCTCATCTGGAGAGTTCATTTGTCCTTTTCTGGCAGGTTTCTCGTTTTGTTTCAAGAATTGGTTTCCTACTTTGGTTTAACATTTGGATTTGATTTTACAATTAACTTGTACATTTCCATTTCCAATTAGGAAAGTATGTACCGGTATACCTTTTTTGTGAATCCCAAGAAGTCGGGTATTCATTTGCCTTTTCACATCCTTCATTCTATTTATAGGCATTGAAACGCAGACAGCATTTGCACCTCATGCCAATGAAATACTTCTGAAAAAGTGTGGCAGGCAATCTGACACCCTGGCCTTGTATTCTTGACCTCTTGACAAAATGGTGACTTCTCGTAAAATATACTACTTTGCCGCGGTACATTTAATCGTCTTGGTGTTACAAGAGGCACAGTAAGTCTAAATACACAGTGGCCCCATGGCCTCGCATCACATCCTCGAGTACACGCTTATGCTGAGACCGCAGAAAATGAAATCCTTTTTACAGCTACTCAGCAGGAACTACCTTATAGTGATGTGTCACAAGAAGGCAAGTGAGCAACGCAATGTTGACTATGCTTCCTCTGAAGAAATACCGTATGGGAGCAGTTGTTCTTTTGGTATATTTCCGTGATACCAAATTTTCCAGAGAGCAACAAAACTAACAATGGGAGAAAGCTAGTTTTGAGGTGTAATAAGAGGTGTAATATTCCACCCTTCCCAATTGGAAAAGCTCTCTCCCTCTCTCTCTCTCTCTCTCTCTCTCTCTCTCTCTCTCTCTCTCTCTCTCTCTCTCTCTCTCTCTCTCTCCCTCCCTCCATCCCTCCCTCCCTCTCTCCCTCTCCCTCCCTCTCTCTCTCTCCCTCTCTAATTGTTGCAATGACAAGCAGGTTTTTGTTTTTTTTTTTTGCAAGACATCTATTTGACTTTGATGTTACTATAGTGAATCCAAAAGGAAACAAATGAGAAACTGACCAGCTGCAACTTTATGGCCACTTGCACAATATAATGACATCCATTACAAGCTCTACAGCAAATATTGCACTTTTAGAGAGAGATCAAGGCTCCAAGAAAGATACTTAACAATGTTACACCGATACATTTTTTTTTTTTTTCAATTGTGGCTGTAGCTTTCTCCAGCTGCCATAAAGCCTCGCCCAGAAGGTTTGCACTTGACACAATCTGCTTTTAACCAAAGTATTTCCATCTGTCCATCCCTTCTCTGTACTGCTGACCCGAATAAGGCTCGCGGGTAGGCTGCAGTCCATTCCAGATGACTTTGGGCAAGAGGCAACCCCACCAACCTGAACTGGTCGCCAGGCAACCTCAGCAGCAACAAATAACCATTCACTCTGATGAACAATGTAGAGTTTTCAATGAACCTACCATGAATTTTTTTTAGAATGCGGGAGGAAAAATGGAGTACCTGGAGAAAACCCACACAGGCGTGGAAAGAACATACAAACTGCTGACAGGAAGGCTCAATTTTAACCCACAATCTCTGAGCTATGAGGCAGATGTGCCCAACAGTCATCCACTAAGGCATTTTCAGGCGAATGAAAAGATGAGCTGAGACAAGGCTTCCATCTTGTTTGGACTCCCCTTCTCCCAATGCACTGACACAATCCCATTGTCCAGTAAGCTTCAGCCAGGCAGCCAAATCTAAGCAGGACGACACGATCAACAAGGAAAATGCTCTTTTTCATTTTTCCTTTTTTCTTCTTCCCACTCACAACAAGCCCGTAACCTTTGCAAAGCTTATGGACACCTCACCTGTAATGCCCCACACTCATTATAGCTTCTCTGATTTTGAAAGGCTGTGACAATAACGACTTGAGCAAGGCTCTGGTTAATTATATCATGTCATGAAATTGCATGTGTTCCAGTGGTCCTGTTTCAACCTGACCCCCGACACATTAGAGTAACAGTGTCTCGCCTGTCATGTCTGCATCCAACTAAACAGAACGATGTTGCAAAAGCCTCACTCCAAAATACATTATGTGTGCCATTTTGATAGACCGTATACAGTACTACATTTTTTTGTCAAACGCCAGAGGCACACTCGAGCACCTTCACTGGTCAATCAGAATGCCTACTGTTGAGGTGTTCAATGCAACAATGAATGTAATCATCTTGCTGAGGAGAATAGGCTTCAATTTGCTGCAAAACATGACACCTTATGTAAGCAAACCTTCTGTTCTAAGCAGCTACTAATCAATCCATACTGAGCCCTTCAAGTAGAACTATTTTGCATTCAATCAGTTCTTGCTGCCCACCCACTGACAAAACAAGGCGTTGACAGGAAGAAAACAAGCCATCACAAACTGTAACTGCTTACCCATACCCACTTAACCCAACCTTCAGACATAGCTAGTTGGGTTTGGGTGGATTTGAATGGCCAAGCCCTGAATGCATCAAAGCCCTTTGGGATGATCTGCAAGAGACTTTCCAAGCCAGAGCTACTCAACCTACATCAGTGATTTGATGTCACGACCTGAATCAATGGATGACTTCCACACACTCCAAAATCTACCCGTACTTGGAGATTTCCTTCGAGTTTGAATTCCTGGGGAGTATTCGCCACATGTCACACTATTTTCAATATAGTGGCAATTGCAAAGTCCTCAGAACAGATCAAATTGATCTGTTTCAAATTGCAAACATCAATGAAATTGTCGAAGAGTATGCATTAAAGCATTCAGTGAAGCTTGGTGTTCTGTTTCTAATAAATTGGTCGGGTAAAAAAAAAAAAATAATAATCGTCCATTATTACAGATTAGTCAAGTGCAAATATAGAAATGAATGGCAAAAATTATACTTTTGTTTAACAATGTGCTACGCTATTTGAGGGTTTTCCGAGAAGTTGACTACAGTTAGTAAATTTGTGGGAATGAAGGAGCATGACAACTTGGCCACAATCAGTCCAAACTCCAACTCATAAAAGCTAACGTTCACGCAGCCATGACGGCACCTTGAAGGATTTGTACCTTGTTGTCTGTTGGTGACTCTCTCTTTCCAAGGCGCTGCCCCATGCTGCTGACAGAGGCTGTAAGGAGAAAAAAAGAATCATGAAAAACCGGTAAAAACCAGGGGGTTGGAAAAAGTGTGTTGTGAGACTAATTTTTGGCAAAGCAAGAAGAGTGATTACTAAAGCATGACTAAAATATACCTACACCTTGTGCACCACTGAGGACAATTGTGTCATGGAAAAACAATTTCCTTTGGTGATTGCATTCTAGGAATGGATGTGATATAACTTTGTATGCATGTAGTGTGCTGGAAAACACAGAACACAAATGAGTGACATTTTCTCTCGTAGGCTATCAGACGGCTGTGATTCAAATGAAGTTTTCTGCCTGTTTCCATAGCAGTTACACTCTGCTGTGCCGTTATATGACTGGGTTGTGTTCAGTCAAAGTAGGAGCTCAAATATTCCTGAAGAGACTAGTGCCTTCAAATATAAATTATCAGACAAGATGCATTCTATCAATAGTAAGTGGTCAAGGAAAATAGAAGTTTGCACTCACGTGAAGTGCATTCTTATTTGAACTTTTCCAATGTGTTAGGCGAGTCTATTGAGTTGACATTTGCCTTCTTCAAAATATTGGTTTCACAGAAAAATTGTGTGTGTGTGTGTGCGCGCGCGCACACACACACACACACACACACACACACACACAACCAGTGGTACGTCTACTTACGAACGCCTCTTCATACGAAATTTTCAAGGTATGAAACGCCTCGACAGGAAAATATTGCCTCTTGTTACGAAAGCAATTTCAAGATACGAAAGGTAAAAATACAGTATGGGTTGCTACTCGCAGCTTCAAGTTTCCTGAACACAGCATACTTATAGCTGCTCTGCCATTGGCTATCACCGAGCATCTTCCTGCCATCCCTTGGCTTAGAGGGACCTCTACCGTATGTGTCTATGTGTGTAAATAGATAAATAGATATGTATCGATGCAGCTTCCTCGTTATTCGCCCCTCGGGCCATGAGGCGTTCCGATAGTTTTACGTAAATCTGAATTACTCAGAAAAAATGTTCACCAGTCCGGTGATCACTCACTTTGCTGATATTTTGCCTTGGAGATTTTTGAAGGATTGTTTAAATAAATAAGAGAGAGAGAGAGAGAGAGAGAGAGAGAGAGAGAGAGAGAGAGAGAGAGAGAGAGAGAGAGAGAGAGAGAGAGAGATCCACTGTAAGTCCTATATATTGTTGTGCTTTTTTTAAAACTAAAATTTCTCTTTTGTGTTCCGAATGTGCTGGTTTTAGAACAGAAAAACGAGCAATCCCCCCAAAATCCATCCATCCATTTTCTGTTCTGCTTTATCCTCACAAAGGTTGGCGCCTCCCCTAGCAGCCTTCGGGGAGTAGAAGGGTTACACCCTGAACCGATTGCTAGCCAATCATCGGGCACACGTAGACAAACAACCATTTGCGCTCACAGTCACACCTAAGGACAATTTAGAGTGTTCAATCAGCCTGCCATGCATGTTTTGGAATGTGGGAGGAAACCGGAGTACCCGTAGAAAACCCACACAGGCCCAGGGAAAACATGCAAACTCCACACAGGGAGGCCGGAGCCGGAATCAAACCCTGCACCTCTGCACTGTGAGGTCGACACGCTAACCACAGGGTCACCGTTCCACCCCGACCCATAATATAAGCTGAAATTTAATGCTAGTCATGCAAGGGGGAACCATTAGAATTGCCAAAGGCTGGGGATTCAGTTAAGTGCCGTACTCTGACTTAATGCAAACCAAAATCTTTGAGTCAGGCACGGAAAGATATCACAGAGACCAAATGTGAGGCCTCACAGCCAGTTTCACTCTCGAATGTTACACAATCAGAGTTGTGATCCTGAGAAGACTTGCAAGAAAGGACTGTTGCATAATACAGTGGAAAAAGGCAGAAAAGGTTGTTGAGCAGCGGGGGGGGTGATAAAAGCCTACAATTACAATTCAGCAGCATTACTTCTTAAATGAAAAATCACGCTCGCAAACGCATTCCGTTGGCATTTCCTCTCCCACTCGGTGTCCTGTGATTTTGAAAGCCATAGGGGAGGTGTTAATAAAACATGCAGCAGGAGAAAAAAAAAAAATGGGCCGGTTTAATCTTTTACAGTGTAATGCTATATCGCAGTTCAACTTTCACTTTTAAGTACACTACTAAGCTGCAGTCATACTCATTGTTCCCACAGAGCAAAGAGAATATGCCGGTATTGTTATAAGCATTTACAAACGGAACAGTTGACGACATTCAAAAGCACAGCAGAGAAAACAAAAGTAGTTCACAAAAAATAAGAATGTACAAGAAAATGTCCATTAAAGTCCATTAAATAAGGTTTCTAAAACTGCTAAAAGAAAATAAATTATTTAAAAAATCATTAGAAGACCTTTAATCAAAGGCATGGAGATAAAGCAAAGTTTTTAACTTGGACATAAAAGCATTTACACTCGAGGTTGACTTCACTTCTGGTGGCAGTTTATTCCATTCGTATGCAGCATCACAACGAAATGCAGTTTCACCATGTTTGCTTTGAACTCTGGACTCCACCAATTGACTCAAGTCTGCAGATATTAGAGCCCGACTGGGCTTATATTTAATCAGCATTTATTTGATTTATTCAGGACCCAAACCATTCGGTGATTTATAGGCCAGTCGTAAAATGTTAAAATCTATTTTCCATCTGATTAGGAGTCATGTTCTGATCTCCTTCTTTTGATCAGAACCCGGGCTGCAGTCTTGAGAATTAGCTGTAGCTGTTTGAGGCGCTTTTGAAGGATCAAGTCTACTGGATATAAAAGCATGGACAAACGTCTCCCTTCAGTCTGGATATGTTTTTCAGATGGTAAAAGGCTGTTTTAGTGAAAGATTTGATATGACTGCTGAAAGTCAGGTCCAAGTCCATCAGCACCCCAAAATTAGCCATTATTAAAAAAAAAAAAAAAAAAAAAACCCAGACTCCTCAGATTCATGATAACCACGATGCGTCCCCTGCCTTACAAAGCGTCAACAATTTTCAATAAAAGAGAGGATCTTGAGGCTGCATTGCGTCCAGATCATCCGGAAATTGACTCATTATTATGTCATTGCTCCTTTCCAGGATGACAATGTCAGTTTGGTGAATAAGTGACGAGGACTATAAACTCAAACAAGAAAAGAGGCCAACAAGTAGATGTTGTCGGCATGGTGACAGTCAGCTGTAAATGTCTGGTGAGAAGTAGAGCTCCTGCAAAAGCCTGAGGGCTCCCACTGTTGCTCTGAAACATCAGGGCCACTACCTGCTGTCCTTCTCTCTTTATTAACAAGCTATACTTACTACAATGTTAACATGGAACCTGTTTTATTAAGAACAGTATTTCTGTATGTATACTAAGGTAGGCAGTGATTTCCTTTTCACAAACTCAATCTTGTCTTCTATCTAGTTTATTTTCTGGTTTCATCCATGTTAGGGACCCAACGACAACCACATTGTAGCTCTGGAGCTGTTTGTACTTCAGGTAATGAGACTCAACCTGTTGACCGAGAGGCACAAACGGAGAAGGAAGACAGAACGGAAGTTGACTCATTTCAAGAGACAGTATCGCTTTCACTTGCGAATTTGTTCACTGCATTCGCATGCACTCAGCATGTTGGGAACTTGTATAAAACCGGCTATTAACTGGTATGAATGTGTTTTGAAGAAAGAGTAACGCCAACACATTATATTGTGTGCTACGGAAAATGCGAAGAAATTCAGAGGGATGCCGAGGAATGCATTCCTGCGGCTTTCCCAGCTAAGTAGTCACAGGCAAACAGAGCCTTGGCCTTAAACTACGGCATGCGAAGGTTAAGCTACAACTTCTGGCATTCTCTCTTGTATGCTCGTAATCCAATCCAATGATGCAAAATTTGTCCGTCGAAAGGCCATCAATGGAACACAAGATTAGGATATCTAAGAATGTTGTGAATGTGTGGTCATCATGTTTCATGCACCCTGGAATTTGATGGTGTGAAAACAAAATCCCTCATCAACTAAAAGGTGAGGATTACGTCATGCACACAGTGTTGTACAAAAAGCCAAGCTTCTGCTCAACACACCTGTTCTGTTTTCTGCTCCTTTGTCTACCATTGTTTTTGGCATTATCACACAATTGTGACAATTGGTGCTTTTTGATGATGCATAGATCAGATGAGCGCAACCTGAGCGTGCAGACTGCAGACGCATCAGATACATATCCGATTTATATACGTGTACAAAAAAAATAAAAGGCTTGGGGCCGATTTGGGGCAAAAAGGTAAAAATAAATAAATCAGAAATGTACTGTTCATATTGACATGAAAAAAATCTCATACATGACACATAGGACGAAAAAAAATCGGAACTGACCATTTTGTACATGGCTTTAGACAAATTTGGCAAAATTCAGAAAATGTCTCGGATTTATTTGGGGGTGGGAGGGTTTTTTTAAGATACAGTATTATAATGTCTCGTGGTGTTTCAGTTATCAACATTGCTTCCCTCATTTTCTGTTTCCGGGCAAGAAATTTCATTTTGGTCAATCCCTACTTCTAAAGGTAAGCACACTTCAACCCTTTCAGCCAGCAGACAGTGCACAGCTTCTGTTCCATGTCATTGCAAAATGCTGTTGACCAGTGCTTCTACATTCAATTCTACATTAATGGTGCTTCATTTGATTTGAAAGATGTACAAGAAAGAGAAGGTTATTTTCTGATCCCTCGTCAAGACAACAGTCTATTTATATCAATCAAAGTGCAGGAGAAATCACAATTGACTGACTCACCAGCAGGAAAATATGATACTTTTTAATGTGATCTCCTCCTAATGCAGAGTGACAGGCAGGCCTCTTTGTATTTGTATGTTTCATTCAACATCGGTGAAGCAGGGAGTAATGCAGAGTGACAGGCAGGCCTCTTTGTATTTGTAGGTTTCATTCAACATCGGTGGTATAGGAGATGCCAGCTGATATAGTTTTGACACACTGCACCCACCGTTTTGTAGCTGCAATCAATACATTTGTTTATATTTTAGCAAGATTTCACAAACTCTACACAGCACCCTTCAAACATAGCATATCCTTGATTTTTTTTTTTTTTTTTTAGGTTTCTACTTTCTATATAAACTGTTCAATGTTGATTGATCATGTCAGTTGGGTATTCATTTACATCAAGAATATGCTCAACAATGTCAAACCACAACGATGGACATATTGTTCAGTTAATACACTGGTGTCAAATTCAAGGCCCGGGGCGCAGATGTGGCCCACCACATCATTTTAAGTGGCCCGCAAAAGCAAATCAAAGATGACAACTTCCATGATGCTTGCTAAAATCTGAACAAAAATTTCAATTTTTCGTTTGTAATAAATCAGTTACATATTGTAATCATTTTCTTGTTACCAACCCCTTCATTACAGTTACTTAAGCAATAATTAAATACAGTAAAATGTTCTGGACTTCTTTATATAGTTTCAGTCGTAACGGCCCTACAAGGGAAACGGTAATTCCAATGTGGCCCGGCAGCGGCAACAATGAGTTTGACGCCCCTGAGTTAGTAAATTTGCGGAATAAATAATACAAGTGTTGTGGCCGATTAGTGTGGTGTACATGGTGGGTGACTAGGCATCAAAACGGGGCTGTCCAAACTTTTTTGTTTGAGGGCCGCGTACAGAAATATGGAAGGATGAAAGGGTCACTTTAAAATTCTTCCACTGTTTAAAACACACTAAAGTCAGTTAACAAAGCAATGATATATTATTTGTACTGTCTGTTTAATTTCAGCAGCTCTCTGTTAAAGGTATTAAGGCAAATAGTTGAGTATTTTTCTGAGTTTTTGGGGTGGCCAACAGCCGTCTATCTCACAGAGTAAATATGGCTCTGCACTTAACAGCAGCCGAATACCATTTCCGCATTCAGAGCCAAAAAAAGAACCAAGTGTCGTAAAGGGACCATTTTTCAAACAGTTAACTTGAGCACAAAGTGGAAGAAACAATTTCTTCCTCCAAAATTGAATTACTGTATCTTAATTCACGACAGGGTTTCGAAGAAAATGTGTTCTCTTAATCATAATTGGTTTATTTGTAACTTTGAATACAGTATAGAGAAAAGTTCGACAGTACCTAAACAAATTCATTCGTAGTAATGGCACCTATTTTTCTGACAACCTCCTTTCTCCCTCTGCCGACCTCCACCTTCTTTAACCAACCTTGCGGCCCATGTCAAATGTCATTTTTAGTACATTTTTTTTTTGTCATGACGTGGGCCGTTAAAAATGGATGGTGGGCCGGAAATGGCCCCCGGGCCATAATTTGGACACCAGTGTGACTCATTCAAAATACGACATTTCTTTTAAAAACAGACGATGCAAAAGCTGGTATCTCACTGAGTGGCAAATGCTCGTGAATGCTTACGCATGTAGCGAATTTGGGGTTTTCGTCAGGGTTCGTAGAAGGTTGCAAAGATGTTTGCAGATAGTTTTTACTTGTCCTACACAGTTTTTCTCGTCAACAAGATATTTTGAATATGTTAAAAAAAACTGTTTGGGGCAAGTACCGCATTTTGGGGATTATAAAAAGTGACTTTTTTCCCCAAACTTTGACCCCTGCTTATTTATGGATTTTTACTGACAAACAACAAGTCGTCGATAGATTTTCCCCATTCTTGTCACATCTGACCAATGAAATTACCGAACATGTCACGCCCTCATATTGAATTCTCATCAACTACATTGCAGCTCCAGGAGAAATCAGCTGGCTAATAGAGAGAGAGCAAAGAGTGAGAGAATGCGACTCAAAGGGGACAAAAACGCACGGCACGGCTGTTTGAACAAATAATTAAGAGCCAAAATAAGCATCTTAAATTGCGTTTAATTTGAGTAAAGGGAACAAATGTAATAAATGCAGCCATTGCTGTAGTGAGACCCGGGTCTTAGCTCGTCTCTGAATTTGCCCCATATGACAGCAAGAGTCTTAGAAAGGTTCTGGGACACTCTGCAATTGTAGCTGCTTTCAGAATGGTTCTATGTGGGGGGCGTCTATACCGTTTCATACCCTATTTAATAACGTGGCGACCGCAGCTATTAGTCCGAAACCGCTAAAGTATATACAAATGAGTTTTTAGGCATAAATTTAGCTCTTGCAGCTTTTAATCAGGTGCATTTTCATCGTGCCATTATGCGAACTGTTTATCTTTACGAGAGTCGCGGGCGTGCTGGAGCCAATCCCAGCTGTCTTCTGGCAATAGGCGGTGCATACCCTGAAATGGTTGCCAGCCAATCGGAGATCTGTGTGTTTTCTAGTCCAGAAACTGTGGTTGAACATATTTTCATCCACCCTGTATATCCATATTGGGCCAAAGCAACTGTTTATTTTCATATTTCACTAGAGATTGTGAAATATCACACTTAATCCAGAAATTGTTTCACAGGGATTTGTGATGCGGCATCAATTTAGTTTTTGCAAATGTGAATTATCAGTGGCACAGAAAATGGATGTATGGCTGAATAATATAAATTGTTTGTGTTTGGGATGGGAACCTCTCACCAAGTCAGCAGGCTATGAGTTTAATCTGTTAATTACACTTTCGTTCGATTCCGTCCTTCCCGTGTGGAGTTTGCATGTTCTCCTGCGTGGATTTTCTACGGGTACTCGGGTTTCCTCTCACATTCCAAAAAACATGCATGGCAGGTTATTGGAACACTCTAAATTGTCCTTATGTGTCAGTGTGAGCGTGGATGGTTGTTCGTCTCTGTGTGCCCTGCGATTGGCTGGTAACCAGTTCAGGGTGTCCTCCGCCGTAGACAGCCGGGATAGGCTCCAGCACCCCCCCGCGATCCTTGTGAGGATAAGCGAATCAGATGGATGGATTACACTTTATCGATTGCATCACCAGCAGATGCATTATTTAACGTACACCATTTATTTTTTTCTTACTTTGAGGCGGCTTCACTGCTTTAAATACAGTATTAACAATGATCCCTAATTCCTTTACTACAGTAAATGACAGGTAGATTTATTTCTACTATTATTTATTTAAACAAATTAGAAGATGTATAAATTACCTCGTTATGCTGTAGTGATAAATCTTTGAATCTCAAAGTCTATGTCTGATCACAAACAAATCAGTTTATAATTCACTGACATAAATTTTAAAAAAAAGGGATCACACATCACACATCATTGATGCGTTAGACGTTCCTTCCCCAGAGCCATTGACGTAACACACCCCAAGATTCATATTTACTAGTTTAGCTGGTTTGGAAATTACATCACATGATGTGACTGACAGATTTAAATATGTATTAATTGTGTTTCCGACGACCACATGTGGTTAAACTGTAGGTGGGTGCTGCACGTCACTTGAACTACCAGCACTAGGTTATTTAATAATCAATTATTGCTATTTATTAAATCAATTCAGAAACCTCTGTCCCAAACATACAGTATGCACATTTGCAAGGATACAATGACTGAATTGATAATATTGATTTCATTGTCTAAAACATGGAGCCAAATGTTGAAAACAGAACAAAAAAACATTTCCCAAAATTTGCATGACAGTTGTCAGGTAGCAAAGGAGAAAAACAAAAAAAAGATGAATAATCCAGGACCCAAGACAGACCGGGGCCCATAAAAGAGCATTTTACATTTGTGGCATTAAAGTGGTGCGGTGGCTTCCCCTAATAGTTGGACATACATTACTTCATACAAAAGGGTTTGGGAATACAAATATGTAAAACATCAAGATGAATAGCAAAACAAGAGGAGCGTTTGCACTACAAAGTGTAGTATCAGGATCACTGTACAGTGCTTTAAAACTCAGCTTTTTTGAAAACAAACTAATGTTTCAATAAAATGACTGTGTGAACGACATGTAATATTCGAAATGAAGTAAAAGACATTTTTTGTAGGGTTAGATGTAAGCCGAATTACTGCAAATCTTGTAACATTGAAATGTTTGGATACTTATAATAATCCACTGTGCTACTCGGGTGCTTTTATAGTGGAGTTGTAGTAAATTCCAAGATTTGTGAAAGGTGATTGGTTTCACAAGCAGCGAGACAGTCGAGGGTCGTAGTGACTAAAATTAGTTGCAAAGATATTAACAGAATTGGAAGACGAGGAAGCAAATGAAAACAGGATTTGTTGCGCAACACGACGTACGCCAAGCGAAGTAAATACGCGTAAGTGGATGACGTGTATGTCGTCCGTAAACGCACTCGCGCAGTTCTGTCGCAGTCGAAGCGTACGAATACAATCAGATACACATAATCATATCATCGTTGAGTATATTACAGTTGTTTTTATGGCTAAGAGCAGGACTGGCGTGCACGTACCCTTCTCTCCGGTTACACCGTCAACAGCATCCACAGCTCAGCCTCGCCGTCAGTCCTGTCAGTGGTCGTCAACATTGAACTCAACACCTTTTTTTCCTCGACTTGACTCTAGTCAAAATGTGAAGTAAAATACGAGGAGGAAAATAACACAACGCCGCGTGTCGGCGTTTCCTGTTTTAGGTAGCTGACAGTGATGATGGTGTTTGCGAGGGGTGGGGCGGAATGCAGCTCGGGGAAAGCTAAAACACGTCCGTGCATGTTTTTTTTTTTTCACGAGACATTGCATGTAAATGGTAGGTTAAATATTTACTCCGTCAAAGGAATGACTCGTGCATTTATGAAAAGACTTTGACAGCATATACTTCGTCTGCAGTGCTCAATTATAAAACATTACCTGTAAAATTGGATTCCTTGGAAATGCTGCATTTAGCTTAAATGTCACTGCATTAATTTGTGTATGTTGATAGTTATGGCAAAACTAGACCTGACATTCAAAAGCTTGTGTTGCATTGCCTCACGCTCCCCGACCACTTCACTTCCGATTTGTTTGTGGAAGCCACTCCCCATGGCCGCTTCCTCTTGGCCGTGATTACCTGAGAAGGTGTCATGCAACTAGGCATGACCGTCGGCATCAGTATTCGTCTTTTCGTACCAGCTACAGCTACTAGTGGGTAGTTGGGCTGAAGTAAAACTTTCAGTTTTTCATCAAAAACGTTTTATTTGCACTCCCTCTATTTGAAATTATTTTTACCTTTTCTGAGTCGAAGATATTCCCCAATGAGGCTTTGTTAAAGGGGAAGTCAAGTCAAAAAAATGTTCTTTACAATTACGTATTCTACACTTGACTAACTTGTGGCTGGGCAGCGTGGGATCGGATGTGGGTGTAAATGGGTGTTTGTCTCTATATGTGCGCTGCAACTGACCGGCGACCAGTTCAAGGTGTAGTCTGCCTTCTGCCTGAAGTCAGCTGGGATAGGCTCCAGCAAGTCCCCACAACCCATGACCCTGTTGAGGATAAGGGCTGTTGAAAATGGATGAAAATGAATATGGATGGCTACGTTTGACATTCTGCCAAAAGTATTCCGCGAGCCATGTTGTCTATTAGCCAGAAACTGAGCTGCACTGTATTTGTTTAGGTACTAGCCGAATAGCAAGAGAATGAGGCAGTCACATGCTTTGTACATAACCTAATATGTTCCAAGTGGGAATCCTAATCATCGTCCCATCTTATCATATAAATGAGAATATACGGTATTTGATGATGATTATTATTTTTATTTTTATTATGGAGAATTAACTTTGAACAGAAGTCAATGACAAATTATCTGCCACATCTGTCTCATGGGCTTGAGTTTGATACCTGTGAGGGGTTTGTTTGTTTTTTTTTTTGTTGTGTAGTCTGCCTTCTGCCTGAAGTCAGCTGGGATAGGCTCCAGCAAGTCCCCACAACCCATGACCCTGTTGAGGATAAGGGCTGTTGAAAATGGATGAAAATGAATATGGATGGCTACGTTTGACATTCTGCCAAAAGTATTCCGCGAGCCATGTTGTCTATTAGCCAGAAACTGAGCTGCACTGTATTTGTTTAGGTACTAGCCGAATAGCAAGAGAATGAGGCAGTCACATGCTTTGTACATAACCTAATATGTTCCAAGTGGGAATCCTAATCATCGTCCCATCTTATCATATAAATGAGAATATACGGTATTTGATGATGATTATTATTTTTATTTTTATTATGGAGAATTAACTTTGAACAGAAGTCAATGACAAATTATCTGCCACATCTGTCTCATGGGCTTGAGTTTGATACCTGTGAGGGGTTTGTTTGTTTTTTTTTTTGTTTTTTTTTTTTGTCTCCGGTAGTATTAGCTACAGTATTGTTCCAGTGACAAGCAATTGTACTACAACCAAAGACATGACATATAAGTATAGAAAGTCTTTCCGTAATGTAAGGGTACCATTGTGCAGTAGTACCACCCTGTGACAGCTGTACAACAATGTGGCGAGTCATCGAGCAGACTGATCACTCTCAGTTGTGCAATGATGACAATACTACAGTATAATGGTTGTACAGATGATGCAGATAACTGTTGCACTATTTAAAGTGACAGGTGGCAGTAGCTGTAATTGTAATGCAACTTTGGATGTGAAATTTGACACAAAGTCCATTTTGAGCACTTTAAAGTGTCCACTGCTGTGCACTATTTGTCAACGACAGTCATTCAAGTGTGTAGAGAGCTGAAGCTGCAATGATCCATGCGATAATACTGTGGCAAAGGACTGTGCAAAATTGGCAAACATTTGCAAAGTCCTACTATGATGGTAATCATATTTAGATTTCAGGGCGGCACGGTGAACAAGTGGTTAGGGTGCCTGCCTCACAGTGCAGAGGTGCAGGCTTCGATTTCAGCCTTCCTGTGTGGAGTTTCCATGTTCTCCCTGTGCCTGCCTGGATTTTCTCCGGGTATTCTGGTTGCCTCCCACATTCCAAAAACAGGTTAATGGAACACTCCAAAGTGTGAATGTGAGCATGAATGATTGTTCATCTATGTGTGCCCTGTGATTGGCTGGCAACCAGTTCAGGGTGTTCCCCGCCTACTGCCCAAAGACAGCCAGGATAGGCTCCAGCATGCCCCGTGACCCTCGTGAGGGTAAGTGGATTAGAACATTGATGGATGGATACTTTGAATTCCAAAAGAGAGGACATTTGGCCAGGGCGCGGAATATTGAAATGATACTCAAAGATGCCATACATTACAACTCTAATAATTTTAAAGTAGGCCTGCACGATATTGGAAAATCATGCAAGGTGGGTGTTGTATATTTCAATATCAACATTATTGGGAAATTTAGCATGTGCCTAAAGAAATCACATTCTTATTATCTAAGGAAAGAAATATATTTTTTCCATGCAGCAAAATATTCCTTTATTCTGATCTAATTAAGTTTATTTGTCTTATTAGCCCTAGACACTTTTCTCTTATTGGATGCCGATGAATATTTAAGGTTGCAGTATACTGAGCTAGGAACCCTTCAGTTGGACACTACCAAAAACCTGAATACTCCAGGGGGAGGCTTCAGGTTATGGGAAAAGATGTTACGTAATGGCTCTTGTAGATTCCAGTGTGGACGCATGTTTTGTTGATTCGTGTGTCATGGAAATGTTGGGGTGTCCAATTGAACAAGCTAGCGGAAATGAATAGGGTATTTGACCAAGACGGACGTCTCCTGGCGGAGGTTAAACAGATTACCGTATTATACTGTACATGATTATTCTCATGCACTGTATTGGATTTCCTTGTCCTTGTCGCCAAGCAATTTACGTTTATCTTGTTCCTTGCCGTTTGCAAATATTTTTGGTTTGGTTTGCTTTTTCCTGGTTATTTGTTACCAGCATCTTTCGTTGTACTTTGTTGGTCCTGCGTTTTGTAAATAAACATTTTTGTTCACGATCTTATCCTTGTCTGCGTTTGTGGCATCCACTCTTATATGGAGACATAACACTTGAGGTCCAAATTAGTTTTCTTGGATAATATTCTGTGACTTTCAGATCTTTTTGATGCACAATAAATATTCAATATAGGTGATATGTACAGAAAAAAAAAATAAAGAGAAGATAGTCAAGTTATCAATCTTTTTTTGTGGACTTAACAGAGTTTAAATGTGATTCAGTTGTGATTTCAAATACCGTAAAATAATTGTCTCATAGTTGTCACTGGGTGATACCACCGCACTACGGTTCACTTACATTATGAAATGTCCTTCCATACTTAATTTTTCCATACTTATTTGTCATGTCCTTGTTCATGATGATACTAATGCACCGTGTTATACCGGAGACAAATTCTTTGTGTGTTCTCCATACTTGGCCAATAAAGATGATTCTGATTCTGATAATTTACGGTATTTTTTCAGAAAATTCACGATGCCAGTTAATTTTTTTAATAGAATTTTTCTCGTAACCCAACTGCGATAAAGTTTCCGTTCAAATCAATGTTTATTTCTATTTTTATTTTTTTTACAGTGTTGCCAATGTACGTTTAACATGATCTAGATCAGAGGTAGCTGGAGCTTATCCCAGCTGGGTCAGACAGAATACAGCAAGGACTGGTCATCAATAGGGCACATGTAATATTCCGTGGAAACGAACTGCCATTCACACATTTACCTCATCACTAAGTGTGGCAAGTGAATACTCTTCATACTTTTTGTACTGTCTTGTCAGGAAAACCAACCACAGCAGCAGGCAGTGACACCCTGAACATTTTACAAGTCATAATTTTATACTCTGCACCAAATAGTCAGTCTGAACACTGAAAGGTACGACAAGAGCAATTATTTTTATCTTTAACTTTTATGATGTTTTGAAAAAGAGCTCTTCATAGTTCTTGGTATCTTTGTTCGAAATACTATATATCCATCTAACCATCTGTCTATCCTCCCATTTTCTGTGCGGTTTATCCGATTCAGGGTCACTGATAACTATCCTTTAATTATCCCATTTCCACAATATAACATCATAGCAACATTTGTTTGAAAGTGACTGTTTGTTCTGCCTTCCAGATGTTATCAACCTTATCCCCTTTCCATGTGATGAATCTGAAAGAGTGGAAACAAAAAAAAAGTGTTGAATACCCATCAGCTTCCCGGGTCATTTACGAAATGTGTACAGATAAGGCAACTGCTTGTAAAATGTCCTGGGATGACCTGTGCAGTACATAGAATGCTAGTTCAGGGCAAAAGATCTCATCAAGTGTTCCGTAATTTTTATGCACAAGTGCCCTTTGCACTGGAAAACAAAAGCAAAAAAAAAAAAAACCAAAACAAAACAGGATGTGGTAATTTTGTTGGGGTTTTTTCAACCCCTCTGTTGTTGGTCTAGAATAGTGGATCTTTCATACATGCATTGAAAAATGTATTTTCAAAATAAATTAAGAGCACGTACGTTGCATGTATTCACGTACTTTGTCCATATTTAAAGTTGCATTTTTGTCATACATCATGTTAGGAAATACGTGGTCCAACGTGTCCTCCCCAGTAGCACTGTTGAAAAATTGTGCCCTCCCCCTCCCCCCGTAAGTTGTCCATCCATGCCCCAAGTGGCCCAGTTATAACGGGGAAACTACAACATGTATATCGCAAGGGGTGTAACGTTACACCAAATACCACAGTTTGGTGCGTACCTTGGTTGTTGTTGTTGGTTGTAAAACAAA